ATAAATTTTTAATAAAAATTTAACAATTTATACAAAAGGTAATTACATTTTTTTATAAAAAGTTCTAGTTAAATATTTTAATTTGATAAAAAAATTTAAATATTATTTATATAATAAATTAAATTTTTATATAAAATTTATATTATTATATTGTAACTATATTATTTATTTGTTTCATATGTCTCGGGATGGATTTGGGATGGGATAGGCCTAGGGAGGGGGTGGAGTGGAGGGGAAGCATATATGCTTTGAAAAAGGTTCCTTACAAGGGAATTAATTCCTCTTTCGTTGCTTTTCTTGCTGGCAGATCTATGCTTCTCTTTGTTATGCGGCCAAGATATGTGTAGGCATCGGTTCGGTTTGATTTGATTTAAACTTAGTTTGTAAGTATTGCGTTGGACTATGCATTACGATATGACTATAGGTATAAATTTTATTATTCTTATTAATTTAAAAATATATAAATTATTAATTAAAAGTGGTAAGTCATCATTTAAAAGTTTTTTTAGAGGAGTTGTTTAGAAATTTATTTTTTAATTAATATTTTCAAATATTGATAGTTAGATTAAAAATTTTATTTATATAAATTATACATATTAATTTTTATATTGATCTAATATTTATAACTATTTAATTAAAAAAAACTATATTTATTAATATATATTTAATGATATTAAATTTCTTATAATGAATAAAGTGATTTATAATTAATAAAGTGATTAAATTTATTAGAATAATTTAAAATTTTATTTGTATAATTTATATGAGTAAAATTTTTAATTTAACAACTATTTTTTAGAAATATTAATTAAAAATAAGTTTTTATACATATCTTCTATAAATAATTTAAGAGAATGACCTATAAAATATTTTTCTCTAATTAAAAATAATTAAAATTATAAATTTACGTTTATAGATAAAGTGTTGCATAAAAAATATTATACATGAAGCATTGTCAACCAAAACCTTAGTTTAATTGTTAATTATTTGAAGCAACGCTCGGTTTGATACCTTTAGTTATCAATTTGGTTCAATTATTTATTCAACCAGTTACCTAAGTGATTGACTTGAGAGATTTTGGTTCCAAAACGGTTATTTGATTCAATTAATCAGATCAAAGTCATCGATTCAGAAGCTTTAAAACAAATACCTGAATTAGGTAGTCACCATGAGAGGGTGGATCTATTGATAAATGTCGTTTGTAAATTATTGTCAAGGATTAAGTATAAGAATTAGTATTTAAAAAAATTTATTTATTTAAATAAACCATACCGGTATGAGAAGTGAACTTTTAAGAATGTGTATGGAAAAATTAAAGCACAAAAAAAATTGACTTAATGACATACTAGCTGTAAAAAGAAAAAGAAAAAGAAAAAGAAAAAGAAAAGTAGTCCCTGGTTCTATACATTAGTGATCCAATCTTAAATAGACCGACTTGGTTAATATTCAAAGCCTAAGGAGTTGGCCCATTCGGTAAGAGTACTCGACCACTCCCCTTATTCATCTATGGAAAGGAAATGACACTTATTTTCCAAAATGGTTGTAATGACAGACGTATAATGATTTTAAGTACAACTGAGCTTTATAACATGACTTAATATTATACAATTAAGACATTCTATTATAAGGTTATTTAAAATATTGCATATATATCTATTTGTTTAATATCAAATTATTTTTAAGAAAGAATAATAATTTGTACATATTAAATTCAATACATTGTGTGATATATTTATTAAAAAATAATTATTTCTTAGTTTAAAATTAAATACAGATAAGTTTAAAAATATAATTATGCACATAGGATGTTGGAATCAGTTGAATTGAATGTATTTATATTATATTTTCACTAGTTGAACCAAAAGTGTATTAAAAAATGTGTTGAATTGAATGTGTACCAATAATTTTCCTTTAAGAAAATAATTAATATATATTCAGTTTAATACACTTTCTAACACTCGTCTCAGCTCAATTATTAAAATATAATATGAGTACAATTAGTTCAGTTAATTCTTATATTCTATATGTATAATTGCATCTTTAAATTTGTCTGTATTTAATTTTAAACAAAAAATAATAATTTTTTAATTAGTGCATTGAACAGTATATTAAACTAGAGTATATATCAATTAGTATCTTATATTTTAAAACACTAATTGGCATATCTTTTAATTAAATATTTATATAACATATTTATTAAAAAATTATTATTTTTTGTTTGAAATTAGATGTAAACAAATCTAAAAATGTAGCTATGCATATCATATGCAGGAATCGATTGAATTAGCTATATTTATATTATATTTTAATAACCAAATTAAGTAAGTATCAAGAGATGTGTGAAAGTGAAAGGCCTACCAATCATTTTTTTTTAAGGACACTGATGGGTGCACACCAGGATCTCACACTCGGGTGTGCACCCCCTATAAAAAAAAAAGTTGGACTGGGTGATGGGTTTTTTTTTTTTGTTTATATGGTGTGTGCACACATCATTATCCTTTTTTTAATTCTATAATCTATGGTATTATATGATGTTATACTTATACCGCATTGACACTTTCATTAACATACTATAACTATTTATCAATATTTATGATGTGTGTGTGTGTTTTTTTTAATCTTGAGTTGTATAATAAGTGATAACTCTCTCTTTTTTTTACCCACATCACTTGCTTACCATGTCATTTAAAGTTAAAACCTCTTTTTTCTATAAAAAAAAATTACCACTTAATATATTGTTAATGATGTGTTAATGGAAAGAATTGTAATGATATTACTCCCATAAAAAATAATAATAATAAAGACAATAGTATAACGCAGTATAACTATAACAGGGATATGGATTTAATCACAAAAAGATTTGTATCATGTTTTACTTTTGTATTAAATTTTTATTATTTAAAAGTTATATTAGATTTAATTAATTTAAAATTGAATTACATTAGACTTTATTAAAAAAAATTCTCTTAATATTTATTTTTATTTATAAAATTTAAATTTAAAATTTAATTTTAAAAAAATTAAATTCCTTCTATTTAACATTTTATTAAAAAAAAAAATCAAATTTCTTTCACGCAACTATACGGTCATTGCTTCCTATGTTGGTTGCTTAGTAGGAGAGCAAAATCAGAGAAACTAAAGAATCATAAATGACTTGCACACATGTAAAGCTTTTGCGTGTTGCTATCTATATCCAAATGGACCAATATTATAAAGTAGAACAATTTAATTAATAATTAACATAAAAAATAAATCTCCCAGAATTATTGCTGATATTTATTGACAATAAAACTTTAAAACATAACATGATAGTAACGTTTTTGTTTCTTCTTTTTGATGTTATGTGATTGTTTCAAAGTTTTGTAATCAATAATGAAGCTTAACGTCTCTCAATGTTTAAGGGAAAAAAAAAATGGAAATGCGGCTAAACTGATTTCGCAGCATTGGCTACGGTGGAAGAGTATCTTTACTTCCTGGCCACTACTAGAATTCATGCAGTCACTGACGAAAAACCATGTTGGAAAGAAAGGAAATTATGTCGGTAAAACCTCTTTGCCACTTGGATCATGTCAGTGATTGATTTGTTGGCGTAAGGGACCTCGTTAATTCGTTTACCGACGTGGATTAAAGTCATGTCGATAAGATAACTCCCAATTACCAACAAACAACATGTCTTCAACATAATGCCGGAACAGTGCTACGGGAGCTCTTTTCTGGTAAGCCATGTCAGTAATTTATCGACGAAAATCACGTCTCCAAATAGCATCGGGTATCTTTGAAAGTGAGTCATGTCAGTAATTTACCAAGGAGAAAAGTGTCTGAAAGCGATGGTATTTATTGACAAAATTTGAATCAGCAAGGTAGCACAAGCATTTTTTTGGTACTTCAAGTTACCGATGAAGGTAGCGTTGGTGCAGGAATCTTCCTAAAAAAAAAAAATTCACAGTTTAAGTTTCAAGTTACCTACGAAGGTAATATTGGTGCAGGAATCTGCTAAAATTAAAAAAAACACAATTTCTTGAATTAATATTGGAATTAATATATATTTTTTATTTAATTCAATTAATTCACAGTTAAATATTACCTAATTCATAATGTTTAATATTATAAAAAATAAATATAATATTAAAAATTTATGGTACAAACAGAAAATTATTGAATTTATTTGTTCAAATTAATAATTAAAACATAATTTAAAAAATAAGAATAATATAACAAACTTAAAATATAACTTAATAACATAATCCAAAAAATTTAAAGATTACCTCAATTATAGAGTGAATATTTATAGAGCACCCTTTACTAAAAAAATAAAGAAATATAAATTAAGTTAGTATTTATATATAATTTCAACCAAATGATAATAATAATCAAAATATAAATGAAATTAAATTTTAGTTTCATAAATAAAATTTATTTACCCAATAATTATCTCTCAACAATGTTTCCTAAAAAACAAAATAATAAAAAAAAAAGAATCGTAAATAAATTGATTAATAACACAAGTTAGTGTTTAATCAATTAGGGAAAAAGAATGGAAGAGAAAAAGAGAGGAGATTGAGAAGATAGGAACCTAAAATAATATGAATATAATGTAATCATAAACATAATAAAATCTAGCAGCATTTGAATGGAAGAGAAAGAGGAGAG